TTTTTTTAATGAACGTTAACTGAGATATAGGCTTTTAAAGAGCATGGTGAAATTTGCCAAAAAAAGCTTAAAATCAAAATAACTCGAAAACAAAAAATGGTAGGTACCAACAACTTTTATCAAAGTCAACATATTTTTTTATGTATAATTGAAAGGTGTAATAAAAACTATAGCATTCCATTTAAAATAACGAAGTTGTGGTCTACTTCCGGTAGACCGGAAGTGGTGGTCATCTTGAAAATATTTTAGATTGAAAGTTTAGAATGAACAACCCATGCTACCCAAATTTCAAACCTGTACGAATAGTGGAACCTAATAAAGTTCTAACGAACCAGTTACGTGAGACACCCTGTATATGTTGGCTATGAGGTTCGTGTATCGAGAGATAATCAAAAAAGCGAACTAAACAGAAGGATCATACTAGTATCGGCAGCCTACGGGAAACATAGAGACATCTTCAAGAGAACAGGCCAAGAAAGGCTTGCAACCAATCCGTGTTTCCGGTTATGAAATAAGGCTCCGAAACTTTAACATTAACGGTAGCCACTGCCAGGAGGGCCCATGTAACGCAAAGATAGATGGAGAGGTCGATCCAGGGTCTAACTCTGAGGGACCACATACGAAATGAAGACCTATGAAGAAGAACTGGCGTAAATGATGTGATAAACATTGTGGCAAAGCTTAAGTGGAACTGGGCGGGTCATGTCGCGCGAATGAAGAATAAGCAGTGGACAAAACGGTTGCTTGAGTGGAGACCGCGAGCGAACAGACGAAGTAGACGTCAAAAGAATGACCAACCATTGGATTCAGATAGCACAGAATAGAATCGTATGGAACAGAATAGCGGAGGTCTATGTCCAACAATGGACGCAGAGGGCTGCTTGATCATAATAACTTGATCTAATCTATATTACGACAGATTCGTCTAATGATACGTCTTTAATTTTTGACAATTCCTCGTCTTCAACGTCCTCATCATCTTCCTTTTCATTTTTTTTAGAATCTGATATATTTTTACTGGTATCACTTTTATCGCACTGTTTGGGTATTTACTCTGGGTCGGGGTAAATACCCGAATAAATACTCATTTTAGAAATACCTATCCGCTGGGTATTTACCCAGCGCCCATCACTGTCCAGGAGTCTTTTTCATTGTATATCCCTAACCTGTAACCATCCAGTAACATGTTTTAAAAAACTTTTTTATTACAATAAAAACTGTCGCTTTATTCTTTTCACTCAATTTTATACCAAGAGTAAACTAGCTCGTTTTTATACATTCAAAAAGCGGATAAAATCGTCTGAGGAGATTCCCAGGAATTGTGAAACAAACGTTCCCAGGTCGACGTAAAGGCAATTACACGCTTAGAAAGTGTTAATATTTAATTAACACCACTCGCGGTGTGCTCTTTCACCTTGATTCAATTTTGAATTTTCTTCCATTTATTTTAATTCATGCGTATTAATTAACTTATCATTATTATATTTTACATTTTAAAATTATTCGATTTTTATTGAGGACGTTGGTTAGAATTTAACGCCTTTAACGACTTCATTAGGTAAGAAATTTGACTTACATGAGGCGTTACAAATGAGATCGTTGAGAGATAAATGAGACCAAAACTGTTTTTCTTGCGGTCGAGTGTTCGTCGTTGCGCAAAAGTGCTCTGCAATTTATCTTTCTCGGTTGCGACGACGCCAAAGAAAACCAAAACGAAAGAGAACAATGCGGAGGTTCTCTAATTGTAGGAAGTTGTGCGAAATTGCGGATCTCTTACTTGTTTCTTAGATAATTGATTTTTACCTCGAAATTTACTTATCTTAGTTCTTTTTCTGTTTCAGGTGTTCTTCGATTTTGAGGGAGATTTTTAATAAAATGAGGTATTCCATTTATAGATTTGGTAAGTGATTTATGATTTATAAAATTAATGATAACGATTGTTATGGTTGTTGTAGTGGGTTTTATAAATTGTAGCAGGAATGTATAATAATAACAAGGGCTTGGTAATTTGTTACGATAAATCGTGGATAATTTTATTCAAAGTTATTCTATGCAAATTTCAATAACAAAGTTATTTTTTTAAATTTTTTTCTTGCAGGTTTTGCGACACTCTTCTATGCTGTATTGTTTTTAACTGTAAGTAAATTCAATAAAACTTTATTAAGAGAGGATAAATCTATTTTATTTTTTTTTAGACACCAGAAGAAGTTTCGTCGAATCAAAAATCGAACGAATTCGACGAATTTGTTTATTATCAAGGTATTATAAATCTTTAGAGAAACGTTTTATATAGACGATTAATTTTGTGTTGTTGTAGGGGTCCAAGGAAGACCAGGAATTGATTTTCCAGTATTTGCTCGAATTCCCAGAACAGGATTTAGTTGTAAACAAGTTCCTTCAGGTTATTACGCCGATTTAGAAACAGATTGTCAAGTAAGATATTTTTTTATAACAATCAATAGAAATCTTGTGGTTTCTACTTCTTTTTCTTGCAACAAATAGAGATCGATTTCTTTTAAATGATTTGATAGAAAAATTAGAGGAGTTTCAAATTAAATGTAATTATCATTTTCTCCTTTAAGGTGTTCCACATTTGTAACGAAGGAAGCAAGATTTCGTTTTTGTGCCCAAACGGCACGATTTTCCAACAGTCCGATTTAATTTGCGAATGGTGGTTTAAAGTAAATTGCACGAATTCGCCCAATTTGTACGAGGAAAGCGCCGAACAATTACTGGAGGAATCGTGGAGGAGGAAAGAAAATCGAAGACCCGGTTACCAAAATCGTTTAGCTAACGAAGAAAAAGAAAAAAAGAAAAATTTCGTTGCTACTAATCAAAGCAAAAGGAAAAATTTAGGGAATTCTTTGAATAAACAAGTCAATTTAAATCCTTTTTCGACTAATAATCAAAATCGTGAAGCTAAAATTGCAAGAAAAGAACAACAAAATCAAAATCAAAGTCGGGGGAATCAAAAATACAAGAGACCGATCAATTTGAAGGGGAAAAATGATTTGAATTTGGAAGATTCGAGCGAGGAGAGCCAGGTTTTGGCGGAAACCGCTTCTTTTTATGATAATAATAATCAAAACGTTATTCATAGCACTGATAAGATTGCGTTGGGTAGGAAAGGTTTGAATCAAAATCAAAATAATCAAGCGAATCAAGGCAATGTTGGTCGTAAAATAAAAATTAATAGGAATCGTAATCAAAAATTGAATGAAAATAGTCAAAATCAAAATTTGAATCAACATTCGAGGTCGAAATCGAGTCAAAATTTGGATCAAAATCAAAATTTGAATAAGAATTCTGATCAAAATCAATTTTCTAGTTCTAAATTCGATCAAAAATTGTTTTCGAATCCTGTCGAAAGTTTTAATCAAAATTTAAATCAAAATAATCATAATTTAGATCAAAATAATCACAATTTAAATCAAAATTTGAACCATAATGATCAAGGTGGACGCACTTTGAATGAAAATGGTCGAAATTTGAACCAAAATAATCAAAAATTAAACCAAAATGATCAAAGTGGTCGAAATTTGAATCAAAATGGCCGAAATTTGAATCAAAATAAACCAAATAACCGAAATTTGTATCAAAACGACCAAGATTTGGACCAAAATAATCAATATGAACGAAATTTAAATGAAAATGGTCGAAATTTGAACCAAAATGATCAAAGTGGTCGAAATTTGAATCAAAATGGCCAAAATTTGAACCATAATGATCAAAATGGACGAAATTTGAATGAAAATGATCAAAAATTAAACCAAAATGATCAAAGTGGTCGAAATTTGAATCAAAATAATCAAAATGGCCGAAATTTGTATAAAAATGGCCAAAATTTGAACCATAATGATCAAAATGGACGAAATTTGAATGAAAATGATCAAAAATTAAACCAAAATGATCAAAGTGGTCGAAATTTGAATAAAAATAATCAAAATGGCCGAAATTTGTATAAAAATGGCCATAATTTGAACCATAATGATCAAAATGGACGAAATTTGAATGAAAATGGTGGAAATTTGAATGAAAATGATCAAAATGGACGAAATTTGAATGAAAATGGTCGAAATTTGAACCAAAATGATCAAACTGGCCAAAAATTAAACCATAATGATCAAAATGGACGAAATTTAAATGAAAATGGTCGAAATTTGAACCAAAATGATCAAAATGACCGAAATTTGTATCAAAATGGCCAAAATTTGAATCATAATGATCAAAGTGGAGGAAATTTGTATGAAAATGGTCGAAATTTGAACCAAAATGATCAAAAGTTAAACCAAAATGATCAAAGTGGTCGAAATTTGAATCAAAATAATCAAAATGGCCGAAATTTGTATCAAAATGGCCACAATTTGAACCGTAATGATCAAAATGGACGAAATTTGAATGAAAATGGTGGAAATTTGAACCAAAATGATCAAAATGGCAAAAATTTGAACCATAATGATCAAAATGGACGAAATTTGAATGAAAATGGTCGAAATTTGAACCAAAATGATCAAAATGGCCGAAATTTGTATCAAAATGGCCACAATTTGAACCGTAATGATCAAAATGGACGAAATTTGAATGAAAATGGTGGAAATTTGAACCAAAATGATCAAAATGGCAAAAATTTNTCAAAAATTAAACCAAAATGATCAAAGTGGTCGAAATTTGAATAAAAATAATCAAAATGGCCGAAATTTGTATAAAAATGGCCATAATTTGAACCATAATGATCAAAATGGACGAAATTTGAATGAAAATGGTGGAAATTTGAATGAAAATGATCAAAATGGACGAAATTTGAATGAAAATGGTCGAAATTTGAACCAAAATGATCAAACTGGCCAAAAATTGAACCATAATGATCAAAATGGACGAAATTTAAATGAAAATGGTCGAAATTTGAACCAAAATGATCAAACTGGCCAAAAATTAAACCATAATGATCAAAATGGACGAAATTTAAATGAAAATGGTCGAAATTTGAACCAAAATGATCAAAATG